TTTTATTACTTAATTAATTCTCTATTATATATATATATATTTGGGTACTAATTCTCCATTATATTTTTAAGTCTATTACACATGTAATTAAATACTGAAAGATGATAACTATGAGTTTATTAGAATCCAAATTAATTGTATATAAATTTACCAATAATTAAAGAAATCAAACTAATTAAATAATTCCCCTACCAAAATCTTAAAATATAATACGCAATAAAGTGTAGTAAGGAAAATGCATCCACTTGAACTAATTGATCAAACACTTGGTGTGTAAAAAAAAAAAAATTATACTCTGCATAACTCATTATCTCAAGACTAAAAATTTCAAACCTTTCTAGTAAAAGAAATACAAACCAATTCTAATACTAAAAAGAAACTAATAATTGTTTACTTTTTAACAATAAAATAAACATAAAATCTACAAAAAATAAAATATATTATCATATGTATATTAATATTTTTTCCAAAATCTTAAGGGGACTACTTGGCAATTTTTTACCCAACCCGTTAATCCGCCCATTACCCACCCATTTAAAACAGGTTAGGGTCATATATTTCTGACCTGTAACCTGTTAATGACCCGTTAAGAGAACCCGATGGGTCACGGGTCAATAACGGGTTGACCCATTGGGTTAACGGGTTTGACTCGTTTACCCGTTTAAAAATATAAAATTTTTTAATTTATTATTTATTTATTTAGTTTTTCAATTCTCAATCGCACCTAAACATCTAATAATTGACTAATATTCCCTAATTAACTAATTGATTCTCTTGACTCATCATCTTCTAGAAGTAAAAATAATCTCACTCAACTCCTAACTCACCTTTCGACCTTTCCTATTCTTGCTTGCCCTAATACTCTCGAAAACTCTAACTCTTCAAACTTCAAATTCTTCTCATATTCTTCAACATCCATAGTCCATATAGGCTTTGACTTTCAAGCTTCGTCTCCACCTTTTCTCTTTAGTCTTTAACATTATCTCAAACTTAGATCTTAATCTTATCGAATCACCGTTGCGTCCACTCAGCCATTTCTTTTTTTCTCCTATGAGTCTGGCAAGTGCTCTTTTTGTCACTAACTTTTCTCTCTAAATATTTCAAGATAAGTTATTTACTTATTTATGCTTTTTAGTTTTCTTTCCATTCCAAGTAAAAATTTTACTTGATTTTCTCCTTTACTTACTTAGATGCATTCAATTGATTATTCTTTGAAAGCAATGACCAAAACAAATATGTTCTAATGGGGTTTGTGTTTTTTGGTTGTCATGCTACTACTGCTTTTTTTTTTTTTTTT